TTTCTTTCTTTCTTTCTTTCTTTCTTTCTTTCTTTCTTTCTTTCTTTTTTTTTGTTACCTGATAGCAGTTTTTTGTCTTTAGGAAAAATAAAGTATTTTTAGAAGTTTAATAAAATCACCCAGGCTCATTTTTGCTGCATTGAAGAATACTTTAAGGAAATTTCTCCTTCAGTTTCATATCTCATTTAAGCCAAAATACTTGAATCTCAGTCAATTTAGCTCTTCAATTTAACCGGATTGTGGATTGCTGTCAAGCTTTAATGTGCTTTTCCTGGTAACATAAATCTTTAAAATCTCCTTATTCTTGTGACCTAGCATTTGTAGAAGGTACAATGTCATTGAATTGAACTTGCCTTTAGTGATCATCCAGAAAGAATGATACCACATAAATCATCTCAAGAAGGATAAAAACAAATATATCTAGATATCCTGCAAGATTATTTTAAATAAGAAAGCAGTTTGTGCTAAAAGAAGTAGAAGAAAAATTGCAATGTAGATTGATTCTGCTTCCAACAGAAGCCTTCTGGAGGGCAGTCTGTAGAAAACGCAAAGGAACTATGGATGTGAACATTGACTTAACCCATATTAATATATTTTATTACATAAAGTATTCAATTCTTGCAGTAGGTTTCTTATCTGTAGTTTATGTATATAATATCACAGAAACTCCAAGGACACTGGAGAAATATATTATGCAGGGATCACTAAGTCTTATTCCCAAAATCTAGGATTAGGAACCTCATATCTTCTAATACTCTAGCATATCTTATGACAATCCATTTTATTTCATATTTAAAGTTTCCAAACATGCTGTAGTTTATATTTCAGGCAAAATTCTACTAAGTTTAAAATGATATAATAAATCTGTCCTAGAATTGTTTTCCTAGAATTTATTGGCCCATAATTTTTTTAAAAAGTGAACTAAATTATGTATGTACCCCAAAATTGAAAATGTACTGATTCCTCTTATTAGCAGTATATCATTGGATAATTAATAAATTTAAAAATTGGAAAATATAACATTGTTCACAGAAGTCTCACGAGAATAGAAAGTCAAAGAAAGCTTTCATCATATCCAATTTGCCCAAGAAGCTCAATAAATGTTCATGGATATAACTTATTATGTGTCATTCATATAGACCCTGGATCTGAATTCTGGATGACCTTTCCATTTTTATTTTGAAGGCTCATAGGGTATATTTACTTCTTGTTTGCTCCTTTTTGCATTTTTAGACCAACCCTCTTGAGTCTTGAATTTGTAACACATGAACTTTTGTAAACATGTGGAAACAAATGAAATTCAATTTAAGCCACTTACTAACAGACAGGAAGCACTAGGTGAAGCTAGGCAGAATCACATCTGATACCTGTACAATTAGCACAGCACCCCCCAAGGGGGGAAGAAGGATACTGAGCAAATAGATCGACAGATGATGCTGTTAATATGGCTCTGCACTACATCCTACAACACCTTGAATCTCCAAATATCTATGCAAGGGTCCTCTTTGTAGACTTCAGTTCAGCATTCAATGCCATCATTCCAGACATTCTTCTAACTAAACTAAACCAGCTAGCAGTACCTGAGCACACTTGTAAGTGGATCATAAGCTTCCTAACAGACAGGAAGCAGCAGGTGAAGCTAGGCAGAATCACATCTGATACCTGTACAATTAGCACAGGGGACCCCCAAGGCTGTGTGCACTTCTCTTCTCCTTATATACCAATGACTGCATCTTAAATGATCCATCTATTAAAATACTGAAGTTTACAGATGATATAACAGTGATTGGCCTTATTCAAGACAATGATGAATCTGCATACAGACAGGAGGTTGTACAACTTGCCTCATGGTGTAACCGGAACAATCTCGAACTGAACACACTCAAAACTGTAGAAATGGTGGTAGACTTTAGAAGAATACCTCATACTACCACCTCTTACAATACTGGACAACATAGTATCAACAGAAGATACCTTCACATTTCTAGGATCTATCATATCACGAGACCTAAAATGGACACCTAAGATCAAAAACATCATCAAAAAAGCACAACAAAGAATGTTCTTTCTGCACCAACTTAGAAAGCTCAAACTGCCCAGGGAGTGGCTGATACAGTTCAACAGAGTAATTATTGAGTCTGTCATCTGCACCTCTATAACTGTCTGGTTTGGTTCTGCAACCCAACAAGACAGACACAGACTTCAGAGAGTAATTAGGACTGCAGAAAAAACAATTACCACCAACCTGCCTTCCATTCAGGATCTGTATATTGTACAAGTCAAAAAGAGAGCTGTGAAAATATTTACAGACCCTGGACATCTTGGACATAAACTGTTTCAACTCCTACCTTCAAAACTACACTATAGAGCACTGCACATCAGAACAACTAGACACAAGGACAGTTTTTCCCCGAATGCTATCACTCTGCTAAATAAATCCTTACGATTTATATTGACTGTATCCTAGTATGATTTGATTGCTTATTGTACTCTATGACTATTGTTAAGTGTGTACCTTATGATTCTGGACTCTTCATGAATGTATCGTTTCTTTTATGTACACTGAGAGCATATGCACCAAGACAAATTCCTTGTGTGTCCAATGACACTTGGCCAATAAAGAATTCTATTCTATT